CCCCTCCCCATGCAGAATCTGGCTCCTCCCCTCTTCTCCTGGGGAGCAGGGCCCCCATCAGCCTTCTGAAACTGCTGTCCCTGAACCCACTGATGGGGGACAAATCCCACAGACATTTCTCAACAGCATGGTTTTCCCCTCCCGTTTGAAGCTCTTCTCTCATTTTCTGGGACATCAGCCCTTCGGTGGCCTCTTCTCTCCCCATTAAGGGTTCCTCTTGCCCCTAAAATGTGGGTATGATCAGGGTTCCGGACTCTGCCCACTTCTCTCCCTCCAATCACATCCATCCCTGGCTGCCCGGCCCTCCCTAATCTCTCTGCCACCCTGGACCCCACACCCCGCCCCCCGCTGCTTGTTCTGGAGGTACTGCTCCCTCGGTGCCGGACTCAGTGCCAACACCTTGAATAATGTATTACTTCCCCAACGCCTGCAACCCTGCTTATGGGCCATAGGCCTTTAATAAACCCAAAACTACTCCCCTCTTGGAGACAGGCCCTGCCATTTGGGGGATTATCTACAGTTCCCAGCTCCGGCTGGCCCAAAGCCCATCTCTAGAGAACAGTAAGCAGGAAGGACACTGGCGGGAGGCTACGGCCTGGGGCAGGCACGTGGCTATTCCTGGGAACAAGCAGACTCAGAGACTGCTCCCAGGTGAGGCCCAGCCAGCCTTTAGCAAGGGCCCCCGAAAATGAGGCGTTCATGACTGCCTGGCAGCCCAGGTCCGGACCGCCAGCCAGAGGGCGCTCAGATGCCAGGGAAGCCTGAGCTCCCATTCCCGCTGACGGCTACTGCCCAGAGTCACCTTCACCATCCTCCACCGAGACCACTGCACATTCCCTGAACAGTCTCCCAGGCTCCAGCTCTCCTCCTGCCAAAGCCCACGGAAAACAGAGCTAGTCACTTCTCTCCATGAGGTTCAACGTTAAAGCCACGCCGGCCACCTGGAGAACAGAGCCCAAACTCCTGACACAGCTTCCCAGGGCTCCCCGAACCCGAGCCAGCGTCCCCATGCCTCCTCCTTCTGTCCGCACCTGCCCCCGCTCCAGTCACCTGCAGGAGCCAGGCTCTCCCGCCTCGCACCGCCCACCCATCTCTGAAGCCCCCTGTCTGCTAACCACAACCTCTCCCTCCGCCACAGAGGAGCCCAAAGACAACGAGCCCCTGATCCCAGACAACCAGCTCCTGATCCCAAAGACAACCTGCTCCTGATCCTTATGAACCGCTCCCAGGCAAGCACACAGCCTTCCTGCTCGGTGTCCGGTGAAAACGTAATACACAGCTCGAGACCCAAGCCCCCAGTTGCTTACAGCTGCGCACACTGGGGAAGGTCTGGGGCAAACACGGGGACACACCCCAGAAAGGACTCGCGATTCTGTTTCTAGCAGTTGGTCCCACACACCAATACTCATGTGCACACGTCATCTGTACGCACGTACACGCTTGTTTGTTTTGTGGCAGCAAAAGCCAGGGAACTGCCTGGAGATTCGGCAGCCAGGATGGTTAAGTAAAGGACGGTAGACGCCACTCCAGGCAGAACAAGGAGACTGTATGAACGGGCATAGAACCACCTTCAAATTCGTTGACAAGATCCTCAAACGTTAACTGGATTTCAACCACTTCTACACCGTCCCCCCCCAGAGACTGGCATCCCTGTTCCCAGCCTGACCCTCCTTTGCATCCACTTTCCAAGAGTGGTCAGGTGCTGGTCAAACAGAACTCCTACTGAAAGGGGAACCCTCCTGCACCGCTGGTGGGGATGCAAGCTGGTGCAGCCACTCTGGAAAACAGTGTGGAGGTTCCTCAAAAAGTTAGAAATAGAGCTACCCTACGACCCAGCAATTGCACTACTGGGTATTTATCCGACGGACACATAGTGATCCGAAGGGGCACGTGCACCCCAATGTTTATAGCAGCAATGTCCACAATAGCCAAACTATGGAAAAGAGCCCAGATGTCCATCGACAGATGAATGGAGAAAGAAGATGTGATGTACATATACAATGGAATTATTAGCTAGCTATTAAAAAGAATGAAATTTTGCCATTTGCAACTACATGGATGGAACTAGAAGGTATTTTGCTAAGTGAATTAAGTCAATCAGAGAAAGATAATTATCATACAATCTCACTCATGTGGAATTTAAGAAACAAAACAGAGGATCATAGGAGAAGGGAGGGAAAAATAAAATCAGACAAAAGCAGAGAGGGAGACAAACCATAAGAGGCTCTTAACTCTAGGAAACAAATACGGTTGCTGGAGGGGAGGGGGTAACTGGGTGACGGGCAGGAAGGAGGGCATGTGATGTAATGAGCACTGGGTGTTATATGCAACTGATGAATCACTGACCTCTATCCCTGAAACCAATAATACACTGTACGCTAACTACATTGAATTTAAGTTAAAAATCTGAAAAAAGCAGAACAAAACAAAACAAAAAATCTCTAGTACGTGGTCTGCCCAAAGCCTCCCCGCCCTCCCCACTCGCCACCCCCTCCTGCTCCCAGTCTTCCACCTGTCTGACCCCATCCCCTTTCTCCGCCCCACCAGCCCCCCTGCCTTCCTTCCACACCCCAAGAACGGTCCCGATTCAGGACGTCTTTCCTGCTGTGCCGGAGGCGAGGAGACAGCCCCCCCCCCCAGCCCCGCACTGCCCTCCCGTCATCTCCTTCTGGCCCTTTATTCACCATCCTTCTCTGGGAGACCCCCTGGACTGTCCTACCTAAAACACACGAGCAATGTGTGCACATGTGCACAGACACGACGAGATCCCCCCCACCATCCTAAAATGCACGTACACACGCAGACGCGGACAGACGCCCCTTGACCATCCTAAACTCATGCACACACGCACACGCACACACGCACCCAAGCACGCATGCACATGCGCGCCCAGGTGCAGTAACACGGTGGGCACATGGGCGCTCTCTGTGGAAACCCTTCCACTTTCAGGATCTGAAAATTCTCATCTGATGTTGAAAACACGCCCCCACACCTATTCCCCCGTCCCCGCCGCGCACTCGGCACCCACTCGCACGCTGTGCCCGTCTGCTGCCTGCCCCCCACGCAGCGCCTGGACCCTCAGCCCCATGGGGGGGGTGGACTTCTGCCCTCCGTCCGGCTGATGAAACTGCCCTATCGCTATACTGACGTCAAACCCTCGTCTCGACATCGTGCCCTAACCATGCACACGACCGCGAGGGGAAACTGTGGCCGCCCCCGCCCTCTCTGTGCTCTCTCCAGAATCTCCCGTGATCTGGAAGCACTTCCAAAATACGAATTGAGAAGGCAGCGCCTGCTACGTAACTGGTACTCAGTGTCTGTTAATGAGCAGATCCCGCGACTCGGTGAAACGGCTTCATCCCCAGCGACAACGAAGCACCCTCTCGGAATACTGAAGGGAAGGCCGTACAGGTCTGCGTGTGCACACCCGCCCCAGAGCGCACACCTGCCCCTGTGCTCACACCCGGCCCCAGGCTCGCAGCCGTCCCCGCATGCATGCACATCCCCGTCCCCGCACGCACACATCCGCCCCCCCGAGCTGCTCCAGGCTGCATTCTGGGGGACTATGGCGGACAAGCAGGGACGAGAAGGTCTTGCAACCAAACTCCGGTCCCTGCTGAGTGCTGAACCACCTGAATGCTGAATGTATTATCTACGCAAAACACAACTTAATCACAAAATTTCTGTCCCATCCTCTTCCTCGGGGTCATTGTCAACTTTATCCACATACACTTTCCAGAATTCAGGTGCTTCCCATTTTTGAAAAATCACTCTTGCAGGATTCCTACACTTCCGTCCCTCCAGCGGTCCTTAAGCCACAAGTGGCCCTTTGCCCCTGAAACACCTCTTGAACTTGAATCAAAATAAAAACTAAAGACATTTCAAGAAGTAGGGAAATTTGAGTATCACAGTCTACATGCACTATTACGGAATTACTTTTCTCAGGTTTGATGGTGGTATCGTGATTACGTAGAAAAACGTCCTTAATCTCAGGAAATAGCATTGAAGAATTCAGAGGAAAAGGGCCAGGTCTGCAACTGACTTTTACACGATCCCACGAAGAAAAGAAACACGTACAGATGTGAACGGGCTGATGATGGGCAGAGATGCACGCGCGCGTACAAACGTGCATCTGTACACGACACAGCCCCGTGGACATGAACACGAACACGGGAGAACGTTTGCAACCGGTGAGTCTACATGAAGGTCACCCTCCTCTTCCAGCCTTTCTGCAGGGGTGGAGTTTCTCAAGATACCAAGTTGGGGGGAAATTTGTTTAAACCCGAGTAAGTTGCCAAAAATTGGCTCCAATGTCACTGAAAGGGGCCCATCAGGATACCCGTTCCCCTTTCTGCAGTTCCAAGGCATTCGGCTCATGTTCACACCGCAGCGGACGGGTGTCCTGCCCGCTCCCGCGCACACGAGGGGCCCAACGAGGCCGAGGGTCAATGTGTTTACGGGGACGACACTGGCTGGGATGTGGCCACGGCTCCACGTGGGAGAGAGCGCGGGCGGGCTTCTCAAACTCCCACGGGGGGAGGATACGGGCACTGGAAGGCCCAGGCCCAGAGCAGGGCTCACACCTCAAGGAGTCAAGGCCCAGACTCCTCCGTACCTTTCACGTTTCTCCACATCCCATCACGACCAGCCTGCGCTTTCGGGCCAAGGGAGACGGGTAATGTGTGTGTGTGTCCGTCCGTGTTCACCCACCTTCACTCGCTGGGGCACGCGGTGCTCTGACCTCCCACACATTCCCACAGCTGGATCCGGACAAGCAGCGCCGCGTCCTCACTCCTGGTCCTAACCACACGGGGAGCCCGGCACACGGCGCACCGCGAGCACGGAGGGCGAACAGTGGGAAAATCTGGCCCAGCCCGGCTGTCGGAGAGCACGGGACGCCACGCAGACACGTGGGGAGCGCTCCGGGTGCCTTGGAAAGCCCGGCAGGCGGCGGGGCTTCTGGCCTGGGACGCGGTGGTGCAAAAGGCTGGAGCGGCAGGTGATATCCCAGGACATAACTTTATTGGAAAGCAGGGGGCTGGGGGAGTGCAAGAGAGGACTAGGAATCAGGCTCTGGGGCCGGTGGTGGCTTCTCATCATCAGGGGGACAATCGATGAAGTCAGCCAGCATAGCAGCCGTGTCATCCTGCTCCTTCAGAGACAAAGACAGAAAACGAAACAGTCACACACACACGCGGGTCGGGCTGGGGACAGACACGGCGGCTGGGCACCCCCCGCCCACCCACCTTCTCCTGGAGGGCTGCTGACTCGGCCTCCGCCTCGGCCTCCCCGTCTTCTGCAGCAGGTGTCTCTGGGAGGGGCGGCACCCTGTCACCCCCACTCTCAGTCCCCTCCTCCAGCAGGGTCGGGGGAGCCAAGGGCTCCTCCTCCACAAGCTCCTGGGGGGGTGGCCCGGCTGGGGGGCTCCCTGTAGCCCGCGGCCCCTCCCCCTGGGAGGGCAGCACCTCGGGGGCCAGCGTGGGGGCGGCCTGGGCCCCCGGCTCCTCCTCGGCCCCCGGCTCCTCCACCTCCAGCAGCAGCCCGGGCTCCCCTTCGGGCTCGGGCTGCACCGTCGGGGACTGGGCAGGGGGCAGAGCCGGGGCCGGGCTCGGGGGCGCAGGCCCCCCTTCTTCTGCCGGCCCTCCTGCCGGGCCGAACTCGGCCTCCTCCAGCTCTTCCAACTCCTCCTCGTCCTCCTCATCCTCCTCCTCCTCCTCCTCCTCCAGCTCCCCTTCCTCTTCCTCAAACTCCTCCTCAAACTCTTCCTCCTCTTCTTCCTCCTCAAAATACTCCTCTTCATCCTCCTCTTCTTCTTCAAAATCTTCCTCCTCCTCCTCCTCCTCCTCTTCCTCCTCTTCTTCCTCCTCCTCTTCCTCCTCCTCCTCATCACTGCTGTTGATGTTAATAACCGTCAGGTCTTCCTCCAGGGTGGGCGGGCCTCCGCCCCCAGGAGTCCCTTCAGGGACCAGCTGGGGGGGTGGCAGCGCCACGGGGCCCGGCACAGGGGGGGGCGGCGGGGGTGGGAGAGGCCCCGGGGCCGCGGGAAGCTCTTCGGGCTCCTCCTTGGCTGGCACAGGAGGGGAGGCCGTGGGTGGCCCGGCTGGAGCCACAGGTGGGGGTGTGGTGCCCGAGGGAGGCGGGGGCGGCAGGGGCGGGAGCCCCTCGGGCACGATCACCACACTGTCATCTGAGTCGCTCTCCAAGGAGATCTCCACGTCGGACGCCTCCTCCTTATCGTAGTGGACGAAGGCCGGTCTGGGCACTCTGCCCCCAAAAGTTTCATCCGGGGGCAGAGCGGGCGGAGGGGTGCCACTAGGGGCGAGGACGGGGTCCTCATTTGAGCCTGCCCGGTGGTTCTCAGGGCCGGGAAGGAGCCGGGGGGGTACGGACACCAGGCCTGGCACAGAGAGGCCTAAGTGGTTGGCTGTGGCTGGAGGTCCGGGCCGCGCCGGGGGCAGGGGGCCCGCCGGGGGATGGAAGGGGGGGGCCCTGAATGGAGACGGGGCCTCAGGAGGGGGGACGGGGGCAGGCGTGGGGCAGGGGGGGCCGGCGGGCTGCAGGGGAGGAACCCGGGGGTGGGTCAGGGCAGCGCAGACCACCAGTGCTTCCGAGCAGAAGGACGACACCTGGGGAAGAGGCGGAGGGCGGCCGTGAGCCTCAGGCGCTGGGAGGGCGTGCCCAGGCTCACCCGAGAGGCAGGCGGGCGGGCCCCAGGGGGCAGCTACCTCGAGGCTGTCCTCCCGCTGGCCGAGGGAGAAGGCGTGCAGGGCGCAGGCGAGCGGGGGCGGGCAGCGGGGGGAGGGCGCCAGCAGCAGGGCCAGCAGCAGGCGGTACAGCTCCCGGCGGCAGCGGGAGCTGGTGTACGGGGAGCTGCCCAGGGTCTCGCCCCGCTGCAGCCCCATGACCAGGGGCACGACCAGGTCGTGCAGTCTCTGCAAAGAAGACGCGGCGCACTTGGAGGCGGCGCGAGGACCCCCGCCGCTCCTGCAGGGCCGGCCCCCGGGGCCGAACGCCCCCGCGCAAGCAGTGCCCCCCAGCTCCACTGACCCTGTGAGTCTCCTCCTTGATGAGGGGCCCGCACATGAGGACGGTCCGGCTGAGGCCTGCGGGAGGAGGCGGCGTCTCAGGGGCGGGCGGGCGGCGGCAGGGAGCACGCAGCCCAC